CGGCGTCGACGTTTTCGATTTTCCATCCGGTACAGCTTTTTCGTGTTCGCGCGGCGTAACGCGCCGCTGAAAGGCGAACGACCGAAGCTAGTTTGTCTTCTCGACAGAGCGTTTCGTCGCTACGCCGCGCGCTCCCATGACCCGATCTGTTCGCCAACAGGCGAACAGACCCCATCCCGTGATCGATATGACGTAACTCGGAGCGTAACCTCGATCCATCGATCGCCACTTTTCCGCGCGTTTTCCCCGCCATTTCCATCGCCGATCATACTTTTAGATTCGAACGAAATTCCGAAAGATCCCGGCGAACGAGTTTCCGAGACGACAGCTGGATTGGGCCCCGAAAGGGAGTCGTAATCAGGATTTTCAAACGTCCCGTCACGGTACCCCCGCGATTCATTTTCGAAGAATCCTTCTCCATCGTCGCGTATCGACGCGTCTCGTCGCGTCTCGGAATAGAATTCCGATATCCGACGGAAATTGGTAAAGATTCGAAGAAAGAATCCGTACGTTCGAGTGTACCGTTATGTAAATAATGCTCGGCCGAGGGGTAACCCTGTTATTTTTGTATCACGCTCGTTAGGAAACCGCGCTTCCGCCGGGTCGTCTATTTTCGTGTCGCTTTCCCCGATCTCCTGCCCCCGCGTCCCTCCTTTTTCCCGATTCGGCATCCATCTTTCGCGAATTCGATTCGCGAGTACCCTGAAGCGGCCCACGCGGTAATTTACGAGCCACGAATATGACTGGCGGCATAACAGGGAGCTATGACTAAGCGAGGTTGGCACGAGGCTCCATGGCGTCGCGCAGCGCGAGTCCTCCGCAACGTGGAATTAATTTACGCCTTTTTGTCGGCGCCTATCCGCGCTGGACTCTGCCGCGGTTTCCTGCCTTTTGTCTCCGTCCTCGAACGTATTCGAGTCTTGTCCGCGACGCGACTTTCAGCGGATCGATGGCATACCGTCGTTTCGCGCGCGTTCTCGTCGCGAAGACGCGATCGGTTCCCGATCGTTGGCGCGCGAAACCTGCGACATCGCGTTTTACTACGTCCGTGCCGGTCGTGCGCGTTATCTCCTTCTAATCTACCTCCGTTCGGTCACGCTTTAGTCAATTTCGTTCTCGCATAATCCTCTTGCCAACACCTGTTGCTAGTCTGGCCAGAAGAAGTTCGATTGTCCGATAAAATGCCAACTGTCACCTAGCTCGATTCGATGGTCGCTATTCCGGATGCACGGAAAGACGCCATCGTTCTATCGGTCCTGGTTGAAAATGCCCGTCGAGCTACGCACGCACGTACGCGCGGCACGATTATACGTACGAAATTACGGCAGGCGATGAAAGATTCTCGTAAAGTTGCTGGCCCGATGGGTCTCGAATCGATTACGTGCGTGAAATATGAACGACGATAGGTTTCCGCCTCTGGGTTAGAAGGTTTAAAAAAGACGAGAGAAACGGAGGTGGGTCCGGAGGATTTGTGAGATGGTCCGGACCGCGTTGGAGGTCTTACTCGATGGCGAAATCGAGATATTTCATTGGAGGCCCGGTAATTATTTAAACCGACTCCACCCAGGGTTCGCCGCGGCGACCCGATTCGTAGCTGTCTACCTGCGAGAACGCGCGGGCACGCGTAAGATTAAACGTCTACCGGTTTTCCGAGTCGGTCTCGGTGGTTGGCGGTCGGTGGTCGGTGGCCCGACGTCGGCACCCTTTTGTAACCCTGTTCAGGGCTTGCCAGAGATATAAAGGTCTTCCCGTTTGATCACTTTGTATGGTAATTTCATCGACGCTGCGCGCTCCGCGCCTCTGCGGCTCATCCATTTTGTTATTCAAACTCGGTCTCGCGTTAAAGGGCGGCTTTTCGGCCTGCTGCGAAAATTTCCACGTACAAACTGATTCCCTTCCGCTTCGTTAGATTCTTTGAGCTCGGCGTACTTTCGTCGTAAATCGCGCCGCGAATTTTCGGCCCCGTCGCGGCAACGGATTCGCGCGTGTACCCACGCGTGTACGCGGACGGCGGTGAAATTTGTAAGGCGATTAGCGGGTTAAGAAAAGAAAAGGTCGCGCGAGATACTCGAGCGGAAAGTGGCGCGCGGCCACTCTCCGCGTGCTTTCGTTTCGCGGAAAGCGTTGCTTTCGCGGCGGCTCGTTCGGGCTCGCGTTTACCGTAAAGCAAACAAGTTGGGATTGCCGCGATACCTACAGGAGCGATGATGGATCGCCGCGGTGGCGGCCCTTATATTTACCTTTCCCTTGCCAAATATTTTCCTTCGAACAAAGAAATCATAGATGGATCTATCAAAGAGCACGCGACGCATTCCTTTTCGCGCGAGCCACTTTCGGCACCGCTCGATCCCCGCGCGCTCCGCGATGCATCGCCGCTCTTTCGCCACTTCTCTACGATGCTGGACTTTTCATAAATTTCGGAAATTAGCCGCGAGCTACGAAGAGCCGGCTGTGACAGATGGAGGAGAACGATCGAAACGAAGCGGTGCGCCTTTTTACCCGGCCAAAAATAAATCGCGCGAATTCTTTCGCCTCGGAAGCGAGCGCGCTGTTTGCCACCGACCAAAATATCTACCGGTAAGTTCACCGGATCGCTTCCTATTTTTCCATCGATCACAACGCGCCGTTTTCAATTTTTTCTTTCCTTTTCCATCTATTTCTCTTTTCCTTTTCGTTTACCTTTCCCCACCGAGTAGCACGCCTCTGTGCGTTTTCGAAACGCTTGCTCCTCGCCAGCGTCGCGCGGGTTAAACTGATCGCCAAAGATTAACGACGTAATTATCGCGGCACGCAGGTAACGTGGTTAATCTTCGTAAATTAAGGCAACAGGTATCCCGGTAACATTGCACGGACCAACTGTTTCCATCGAGTTACGTAACTCCGGAATCAAAGGAAACGGAACATCGGATCGCTGGCTCGCGTGTATACGTGCATACCAGCCTTATGTAAAGACGTAATCCGCGATCCCGTTTTAAAACCCATTTTAATACGACGTATAATAAAGGAAGCCACGCAAGGGTTGATCGAAGCGCGATACCATAGCTGACCGGGGAAAAAAGGCAGGAAACGAGCGTCGGAGGAGGATGTTGCCTTCGCTTCGGAGGAAGTGTATCGAGAATCGATCGACTGGCGAAAACTTGAAAGTTTTCGCGCGAGCGAGCTGGTTTATACGAATCCTTCCGGTCGTTGTCGATAGGCTCGGGTCGCCTAACTTTTAACTTATTTAAAATCGGGCCGAGGTCAGCGCGCTCGGTCCGAAATAAGTTCTCGACCGCTTCGCGGGTGCCGTCTTTCTCTTAACGGGTCACCCGATGGGTGTGCAGCCGGAGCAAGTCCCGTTGATACGCTTATGCCGAGGAGTATCGCGCGAAGCGTTATCGAGGCGTTATCGAGCGTGCGTGTTCGCGATAGGAAAGTCGGCGCGTAAGGAGCAATCTTACCTTTGTTGGAAAATTCGGGCGAATCCTCGGTAGCTGCGTCTGCTCGACGCGCTCGAAGTAGTATCAGCAAACTTGTCAGAAACACGTGTCCCGACGTGCGCCGCATCTCGAACCGGTAGGCGAGAATCAGGTGTTCGAATTGACGCGCGTCCCACCAGCCACGTCCGATCGACACCTTTCCAGACATTCGATAGCGAGCGCGATCCAGGTGTTCTCGCGTTTCGCCGATAGCTGGATCAACGACGATTTCTCCAGCGATTACTGCGCGTCGTTGCTCTCTCGACCGATCGGCAGCCAACCGATGGCACGGCGCGCATTCTCGACAGCGTTCGACGAACGGTTCATCGTTTCGCGAAACGGATCGGTCGGAAACTATCTTCCTCCTCTTCACCGGGAACGTTTCGAACCTCTTCTGGCACAGGACCGGTTCGAGGTCCTATTGTCCTTTGCGCGAAGGACGACGGTCCGAGTCCTGTCCTGATCGACGCGAGGCGCCGTGCGTGTCACGCGTGCTAGTTATTAGTCGGGACGCGTCGCGGTGTCGAGCCGAAATCTTTTGATCGACGAAACGAGCCGACGTTTTTTCGCGTCCGACCGACACTCGGACCTTCTTCCTTTGTCCCTTTTCGAGTCGTTTCCTTTCAATTCCTGTCGCTTTGTCGAAATCTTTGCCGCGATCGTCTCGTCGCTCGTTTCCCGCGTATTCCGCTCGGTTCTCCGTTCCGCCGCGGCGTGTATATTTCTCCCGCCCTTCCGCAACGCCCCCGAATGATTTCGACTTTGATCTTGCGTCCAAAACAGCTCGCGCGTCGATTTTCTCCTCTTCTCGTTGCTCGTCGTTCTCTTCGCGCTGCGCGTTTGTTATTCTCGCGCTGCCGCTACTTTTTCCCGCGTTCTGCGGTCTAAATTAACCCCGGCGATCAGGTGGCTCGATCCCGTCAGCGACTCTTTATTCTTCTCGTTGCATTTCGTTGTTGGTTCCCGAGCGCGGATCGTTATTGCTCGCGGAATAACAGGGCCGACAGGTCGGGGCCGAAGTGGCGCGTGCTGGTTCGATTCGATAACGATATCCCGCGGAGAATTCCGACGAATTGCACAACGACGTTGCACGCGGTTCTCGTCGGTTCGACGTAGACGTCGGAGTCACGCGCGTCGAGGTATGCGAATCTGTGCCGGAACGCGAATACCGCTAAGAGCGGATCGGAAACGTAGAAGCGGGATAGAGGGAAAGAAACGGCACGTAGAGCGAGAGTTTGGATCGCGGTCGTTGAAACCGAGGGAAGAAACCGACGCGACGAGGCTCGGCAACCGTTCGAGATCGTCGTCGTCGGCAGCGACTGCCACGGAACTAAAACCAAAACCAACGACACGCGTGTAGCTGCCCCCACTCGTGCACCCTCCTCGTACGGCACACGTCCATTTAACCCGGCCCCGAGGACACGCAGTTCAGCACGCACACGCGCTCGTTTAGCCACGGCCCACTCCGCTTTCCTAATGCACACGCATCTTAACGCGCGCGAGCCGAGTCGCGCGAAGATGCACCGCCACGCATTCGTGCTAATGACGCGAGTAAAATCCTCCCGCTGGAAAGCTCGGTTTCTCCGTACGTACCGCGTACTCGTTATTACCGCACCCACGCGCGCGCGCGCGCTATCTTCCGCGACGTCGTCGTCGCGTTCAACGACCGGTATCGGTAAGGGATTTCGATCGTCGCGAGATCTCGCGGGATTTCGCCGATCGGCAGAGAGTCGTTTCAAGGTCGCGTAGGTGGAACGGAAAATGTCGGCATTCGCGCAAACACGCGGGTGCAGACAAGCGTGTGTCACACGCACAGGGGAGAGGAAACGCAGGCGTTCCGGTTCACCGCGTGTCTCCGTACGATCCGTCTCTCTCTCGTTGACTCGCAGCGAAAGGGGACGAAAGCGAGTTTGGCTCGGTGGAATAAACGCGGGGTGAGTTTCTGGCGTATCATCGTACAGACGATTACGCGAGCGCCGGGGGTTTGGATACGCCACGGCGTGTTCATCGAGGGTGGAGTCTAGGACGAGGGTCAGGAATGCACGCTGAAAGGACAAACTCGTCGCTCCGAGAGACTGCTACACGCGGTTCCGTTTAATGGATCGCTCGAACGATTCGTCTCGATTCGTCGTAGTGATTCGTTCGTTTTTATTAATCTTTGTACCCACCTCTACCCTCCTCTTCCCCTTTCGTTCCACGGGCCAGCGGATACACTTGCGCCACGGCGTAGATCGTGGTTGAGAAAACAAACGCGAACGCGGGTCGGAGCGCGGCGCCTTCGCCGGGCATGGGATTAAAGGCGAGTTTAAACGGAACTGGACTCGAAACGTGAAAGTCGAACGATGTTTGGCGTAATTTACGAGATCGATGCGTAGGAGGGAGCTTTGTTTCCACGTGTATTTACGTTTCGCTTTCTTTTCATATCCTCGGCGTCAGGGTCTTGGTCGAGAGCGAGAGAGCGAGAGAAAGAGGCCGAGCTGTTACTGTAGCCGGTAGAGGGGCATTACACGCACGGTGTTTCTAATGTCGCCGCACGGTTCGCGGCGAATCTATTTTCGGAATCCTCGCGTTTCCCTCGTTGAATACCTACACCCTCTTTTTGACCGGGCCGCGACCACACGCACCCACGTGCACGTACCGATCTGGAATCGAGAACCCCGCGATTCGCCGTGACACGCGCGCGGATTTGCGAATTCTTCGGCTGGTACTCTGGCGAAATTCGTGGATCACGGAGGAAACGGAGCGCGGTGCGTGGAGGTGCGAGGAGGAAAAGCTATCGCGATTCGTGTATGTCCGTTCGGTTGGTCACGCCGACCGGTCGTGCCTGGTATGGTCGCGTTTATTTGACGGCGAGAATCTCGTCGAACTTTATCCACCCGGTTAGGTACAATTGAACGCGGTCGGTGTATGCTCGAGTGCTCTGTCGGCCACTCGAAACTTTTGCTAGCCGGTCTGTATTTATTCTTTGCCCAAGCGCCGCTTTTGCCTCTCTAAACTAAACAATTCCACCACTTTGTTGCCATTTCCTTCTTTTTTCCCCCGTTTCTCTCTCTCTCTCTCTCTCTCACCCTTTCTCTCTGTCTCTTTTCTCCCTTTTTATCGCTCATTTCGAGTATCGTCGCGGTGCACGAATCCGTTGGCTTTTATCCGCCGCTAATAGACACGGGCAGCGGCTCGTTCGTAATTCGATTCGATTCGATTCGATCCGCCGGAAGGGCGCGATTCAATTAGCAACGGTGTCCCAAAAACGATCAGTCGGATACGGGACCGTTTGGAAAAATCGAGTCACGTGCTCCTTATCGCGCGATTGCACCGGGACGAGATTTCCCGTGGATGGAACGTTGGTCCGTTCGCTCGGTTCTTCGTGGGCGAAAAATTTCCCGAGTATTTCTCGAACGCGTTCGTCGCAGCTGCCGTTAAACCAGCCCCTTCGTCATCCAGCGTCGAATCTCCTCTAGTCGTTGGATTCGGGATAGGTAGGTGCGAGCGGATAGCTGTGTGTGCGACCACATTAATCGGCTCCCTCTTTTCCCTCTGTATCGCGTATCTCGAATTCGGAGAGAACGAGTGCGGTGGAGAAAAGGCAGATCGATATCTAGCATCCCCCGGCTGGATAAAGTACGTCAGCTTCAGTCCTTGCCGAGCATAAATAATAGAATTATAGAAGAGACGTAATTGTCGAGAATTGCCGGGAAATTTATGGGGCCCGTAGGTGGTCCTTAAACGGTGCTATTGCTCTCTCGCGCGTCCATCGCTTCGATCAATTCCGGGATAAAGTTATTATCAAAACCGTTTAAGCCCGCGACACGTGGGCAGGATGTACCAGCAGCGAGATAAATCCTGCCGCGCTCTGCCCGTCCAGCGTCGTCGTCGCGACGCCTGTCCATCGCCGGGCCGTGTTCCAGCTTTTATATTTTTTAATCATAAACCATCGCGTTTAATGACCGTCGCGGAGCGTGCGTTACGTTCACTCGGACCACGCGTAGACCACGAGCATCCTTGATTTCCTGCGAGATAAATGACCCTGCGCATGCGGGTCACGAATACCGCGTTTCCGGTCCGACGTCTTGCCCCGAATCGTCGAGAATTAAGATTTCGGCCGACTTCGTAACTCGGTCCCATCCCCGGCCCCTCCCGTCTCGATCCATCGCAGCCTCGAGGCTAATTTTGATCGACCGCTTCGATTTCGAAAATCGGTGTACACGTCGCGTGCGCGTTTTGCAACTCTCTGTAACCCAGTTCCGCGCTCCGTCCGATTCGCGCTGTTAACCGGATTACGCGACACTTTGACCGGCGCGCGAATCCTATCGCGCGGATCGCACGACTCCTCGCTCACCCCGAAGACCGGTCGTTTCACCGGTAAACGATTCCACTTATCAGTGAGTCATTGGAACGTACGCGTTACGTAGCTATCACGAACGCGGGCGCGACGCGAAACGCGACACGGAACGAACCGCGATGACTAACGAGAATCCAAAGCGATCGATATGAATCCGAATGCGGCGTTACGGAACGACACGCGGCTCGTTTCCTGCTCATTAATATTTATGCGCTACCATTCCTGTAGCTTTCGGCTGAATCGCATTATCCCGCTCCGATTTTTCCTTCACTCGCGTACGTGCATTTCCAGTTGTCGTTATTAAATATATTTTCCTCTCTCTCTCTCTCTCTCGTTCTTGCGCTCAACGATTCCGCTCGCGACGTCGCGATGCGTTTCGAGGAGCGTAAGATGTTTGGAGAAATTCGGTCGGAAGACGCGGATGTGAAGGAGAGGGTGTGGATTTCGAAGCTCGGAAGAAGCGGTCCGGCGCTATTCCTGTTCCTCGTCGGGGGTCGAGCAGCTATGGGCGCACCCTAACCGCGGCGTGGCACCCTACCGTGGCTTGGACGCGGAAACCCCACGGCTTATCGATCGTGTCTTCGGAGGTAAGATCCATCGGTGGTTGCAGCGAGTGGTGCGGAGGATGAGTCACGCCTGGTCTATCGTGACACAGCCGTATTATTTTTATGGTGTTTTCGCGTGGCCACCATGATTCACTGGGCCCGAGGCTTTTCCGGCACCCTTCGAGACCCGTGTCCGTTCCCCTC